CCTCTCACCGAGTCAGGCCTGGGATCCCAGAGGCCTTGGGGTTTCGTGCTGGTGTGATGGCCATGGGGCCTGAGGTGAATAAATCACTTGGCCTCTCTGAGGCTCTGTTCCTTCTCTGGAAAATACAGCTCCTCCTGCCACTGCTCGGGGGTTTTCCTGGGGCTTAGACCAGGAAATGATACTTCTGAGGTCATCAGCACAGCTAATGTGCTTGAGCACTCACAGCCCCTGTCCCTTGGTCTGCCCAGTCACCCCGTGTGTGGAAGAGAAACGACAAATAAAATTTTTTAAGTGTAAGTATATCCCACACAGTGTTTGGGACATACTTATACCTAAAATACCAGACTTTTCCCTTTATTCTTTGTGCTTCTGAAAATCAAATGTAAGAGGGCATCCTGTATTTTTTAATCCTCACCCAAGGAATGATTTTTTAGAGATAAAGAAAGAGAGAGAGAAGCATCCATCAGCTGCCTCCCATAGGCCCCCCCAACCAGGTATCGAACCCGCAACCTGGGCATGTGTACTGACCAGTCATCGAACCTGCAGCCTTTTGGTGCACGGGGCAACACTCCAAGCGCATCCTGTAATTTTAGTGGCTAAATCTGGCAACCCTGAGAGCCGGCTACCCCAGGGAACACATCTCACAGCACCGCGTACATGTAGGAGGCAGCAGACACGCCCTGGAACCTGGGAGAGGGTTGGGGGCTGGCCCGGAGATTCGGGACTTTCTCCTGTGGCCCGGCTCTGTGCCCCTGGCTGATGTCACCACCGTCCATCTCCTCGCCTGCCAGGAGCAGCTGCAGCTGTACTGGGCCATGAACTCCACGTTCGAGCTCTGTAAAATCTGTGCTGAGGCCAACAAGGACGTGAAGATCGAGCCCTGTGGGCACCTGCTGTGTAGCCGCTGCCTGGCCGCCTGGCAGGTGGGTCTCCCCTCTCCTGAAGGGTCTCCCCTATGCCTCAGGGATCAGATGGGAAAACTGAGGCCCAAGAAAGCAGGGACTCGCTCAGGGTCACTCAGGGGCGAGGGCCTGGAGCCTGGCTGTCTGTGTCTGTGTGTCTGTCCCTGTCTCACTCTGCGGCTGTCACCTCTGCTTCTCCTTCTCCAGCTACATTATTCGTGGAAAGACCTCCTCCCTTCCCTCGCTGGGCAACCTGGGGCTAGTGGCTTCACCTCTCTGAGCCTCTGCCTCGTCTCTGGAGAACAGAGCTGACCCTGGTCACCTCCCAGGCCCACAGTGAGGGTCCAAGCCCTGAAGCCCACAGCGAAGGCCCCTTGTGGAGGGGAGCTGAGGCCGGTGCATGACATCACCTACTTTTTACTGTAATGTAAATGCCTGACATTAAGCTGAGTCATCCATTTCAAAGATACCCATCTCCAATAAACAAATTGCCAGATGTATGACACAGCAAAACTAGGAGATAAGGAACCAGGCTGCCCCCACCCATGAAGTTCCCCTTTATTTTATTTATTTATTTAATACTAGAGGCCCGGTGCACGAATTTGTGCACGGGTGGGGGCGGGCCCAGCATGGGGGTCCAACGGTGTTGAGGGGCCGTGGAAGGGCTCCAGGGCATGTCCAGCCTCTCTTGCTCAGTCCCAATCAGCTGGACCCCAGTAGCAAGCTATCCTACCTGTCGGAGCGTCTGCCCTCTGCAGTGCACTTCATAGCGACTGGTCAACCTGTTGACTGTCTGCCCCCTGGTGGTCAGTGCACATCATAGTGAGTGGTTGAACAGCCTTAGCATATCATTAGCATATTACACTTTGATTGGTTGAACGGAGGACCGGGCACTTAGCATATTAGGCTTTTATTATATAGAGAATTTGTTTTGGATTTCAGAGAGAGAGGAAAGGAAAGGGAGAGCAAGATAGAAACATCAATGAGAGAGAATCATGGATCAGCTGCCTCCTGCATGCCCCCCACTGGGGATCGAGCCCGCAACCTGGACATGTGCCCTGACTAGGAATCGAACCGTGGCCTCCTGGTTCATAGATCAAAGCTCAACTACTGAGCCACGCCGGCTGGGCTGAAGTTCCCCTGTAGAAAGCCCTGGGTAGCCTACTTAAGTGACTCGGGCTTTTTCCTTTCTACACCCTAATTCCTGCTCCTGTGATTTTTTCTTTTTAATCCTCACTTGAGGATTTGGTTTTTTAAAAATTGATTTGAGAAAGAAACATTGATGAGTTGCCTACTCTGTGCCCCCGAGGGGTGGAGCTGGGATCGAGCCCACAACCCAGGCATGTACCCTAACCGGGCCGCTCCGATGCTTGAAATTCACCAATGAAAAGTGAACCCTTGCCCAACCGGTGTGGCTCAGTGACTGAGCGTCGACCTTTGAACCAGGAGGGCTTGATCCCCAGTGGGGGGTACACAGGAGACAGCCAATCCATGATTCTCTCTCATTATTGATGTTTCTCCCTCTTCCTTCCTCTCTGAAATCAATTTAAAAAACTTTTTTAAGTGAACCCTTGCCCTAGCCAGTGTGGGCCAGTGGTTAGAGTGTTGGCCCACAGGCTGAAAGCTTGTGAGTCTGATTCTGGTCAAGGGCACGTACACATTGGTTGCACATGTGGGGGGCAACCAATCGATGTGTCTCTCTCACATCAATGTTTCTCTCTGTCTCTCTCTCTCCCTTCCACGCTCTCTAAAACCCAATGGAAAAAAAATACCCTCTGGTGAGGATTAACAACAACAAAAGAAAAGTGAACCCACTAAACCCTAACCACCCCACTTGGCCCCTAAGAAAGGCAGACCCCAGGTCCATGCACCCTCCCGCGACCTCCTCGCGTGGCCTTGGGCATGCCGCGTGCCCTCCAGGATCTGAGTAATGAATCTCGTCCTCCCGAGTTCCCTGATGGCTTTTGCTGAGGTGCATCCTGCGGCCATAATAAGAACCACCAGGGCTGGACCGGCCACAACACTGGCCCCGGTGGTGGGGGAGGAGGGTCTCTGGGGGCCTAGGCGAGTGTCTCAGGCCTTCCTCGCCCATAGCATCAGCGTCCATAGCTGGGGCCCACTGGGCTCCCCATTTGTGCGCCCCCCTGGCCTCGGGCTCTGGTCCAGTCCCTCCTTCCTGTCCTGCACCTCTCTCCATGGCTCCCTCCTCCCTCCTCTCCATGGGCCTCCCTCTGTCTGTCCTCCCCACCTCACTCTGCTGGAGATGAAGGCCCTTGTGGTCCCAGAGGACTTGGAGAAGAACCGGGAGACCCTGACTCCCTCCCCCGCCGCCCCCCCGCCCCCAGCAATCAGACAGCCAGACCTGCCCCTTCTGCCGAAGCCAGATCAAGGGCCGAGAGGTCGTGAGTATCCATCGATCCCAAGGGAGGCCAGCGGAAGCCAGGGCCACTGCTGAGGACTCAGGGAGCAGCGATGGCCAGGAAAACGGCGAGGAAGAGCTGGGGCAGGTAAGCAGGGCCAGGCGGGAGCTGGAACTAAAATTCCGGGGCCCGAGGGAGAAGGGGGCTGGGGGGCCAGACTCCTGGGTCTGAGGGAGGAGGGGCTGGTGATAGGATTTTGGAGTCCTAGGGGCCTGTTCCCCTGGGACTATGGCTCCTCCGGTCTGAACCCTCCTGAGGGTTAGGACTCTGCCTTATTCTCCATTATTTCTGCAATGTCTGGAACAGGCCTGGTGCTGGGACGCCGGGCAGGAAGACATAACCCGGCTGGGGGGCCAGACTCCTGGGTCTGAGGGAGGAGGGGCTGGTGATAGGATTTTGGAGTCCTAGGGGCCTGTTCCCCTGGGACTATGGCTCCTCCGGTCTGAACCCTCCTGAGGGTTAGGACTCTGCCTTATTCTCCATTATTTCTGCAATGTCTGGAACAGGCCTGGTGCTGGGACGCCGGGCAGGAAGACATAACCCTCTGTCTCCCTTAGGTGGTCCCCTCAGCCCCCCCACTGCCCCCTCACCCGGACCTGCCCCCTCATCTGAATCCGCCCCCTCGCCTGGATCTGCCTCCTGAGCATCCCAGAAGTAAAGGCCAGCTGAAGGTGGTGAGTGAGGCACTGGTCTGAGGTGGGCAGCTGGGGTCTCCTTCAACCACAGGGTCCCTAGTCCAGCCAGGCTCTTGGGGGTGCCAGGCACTCACTCTCAGCCCCCGTTGACAAGGTGCTGTGTAATTTGGCGTCCATCCCTCCAAGGCCTCTTCTCTTGTGCTCATCCCCCATCACCTGGCTCTCCTTCCAGCATCCCAGCAGGTCCTGCCCCAGGGCCTTTGCACAAGTGGTTCCTTCTGCCTGGATCTCCTTTATCCAGGCTCACTTTCTCATCCTCTCCTTCTGTGCCCACCCTATTGACCACAGAGCCCCGGTCCTGCCAAGCCTTTGCCCGCTGCGTTCTCATACTGCTCCTCATCACCTGGCAGAGGGGACAGTTCCTGTTGTTGTCTGTAACCATCAGCGGGTTATCACTCTCCTGAAGATGAGGACTTTGCCTTATTCTCCTGAGAGTGCCTGAGACTAGAACAGTGCCTGACACCTAGTAGGTGCTCAATAAATAGATGTCGAGCCCGGCCGGTGTGGCGCAGTGGTTGAGCGTCAACCTATGAAACAGGCATTCCCGGTCAGGGCACAAGCCCAGGTTGCAGGCTTGATCCCTAGTAGGGGGCGTGCAGGAGGCAGCCGATCAGTGATACTTATCATTGATGTTCCCCCTTCTCGTTCCCTCTCCCTTCCTCTCTGAAATCAATAGAAATATATTTAATAAATAAATCAGTAGATGTTGAATGAGCAAGTGGAACTGAGTCTTCCCAACAGCCCTATGCAATCGAGAATGTTCCTCTCCTCGTTCTTCAGAGGAACAAAGCCCAGAGAGGCGACTGCGGCCGCCCAAACCCACACGGCCCAGAAGAGGAAAAGCCAGTGTTGGGGGCTTAAAATCACCCACTTATCTTCCAAGGGAGCCCAGCCTCGCTTCCTTCTCCCCCGTCCCTGTACCTCCCACCCCAGGGTTTTCCGAGACCCCGGCCCACTGGAGAGGGGCAGGTCTCAGAGCATCTCAGGCTGAGTACACACAGATTCAATCGATACGGCTGACTTCAAACAAACAACTCAGGAAGTCCGGGAACATTATTCTACCACAGCAAACAAGAGAGCCAGCAGGAAGGGGGGTGGGGGGGAGTGTGACCAGCCAGGGAAGCTAAAAACAGATACCAACCTGCAGCCAAAAGCAAATGGAAACATTAGGAGCCACTCAGCCGGCTCCCCGAGGACAATGAGGGGGACAGAGCCAGAACGGCAGGCTGAGGGGTACTGCTGGCCACGTGGCCACCCCTTTGCCTAGGCCCTAGGCTGTGCCCTCCGCCCGGCATGCCCTTTCCTCTTCTCCCCAAGCCCTGCCTGATTCCGAGGGCAGGCAACTCCTACTGCTTCATTCTTCAAAACACGGCAGGCCAGGCGGGCCTGGTTTCCCAGCAAGGTGACTGTCAGTGAGAACAGTTCACGTGTGGCTCCCTTTTCCCGAACGATGGCTGGCACTGCTTTGTGAAAAAATATTTCTAATTAGAGTTGACATTACAACATAGTGGTTCAAGTCTAGTAACCATCTGTCACTGTGCAAAGTTATTACACTATTATTATTTTTTTAAATATATTTTTATTGATTTCAGAGAGGAAGGGATAGGGAGAGAGAGATAGAAACATCAATGATGAGAGAGAATCATTGATCGGCCGCCTCCTGCACGCCCCACTCTGGGGATCGAGCCGGCAACCCAGGCATGTGCCCCGACCGGGTTAATTGAACCGTGACCTCTTGGTTCACAGGTCGACGCTCAGCCGCTGAGCCACACCAGCCGGGCACGGTATTATTGACTCTATTCCCTGAGGGGCACCTGGCACTGCTGTTTAATGTATTCACTTAATTGTCCTGGAAACTCAATGAGATGGGTACTGTTATGATCCCTATGGTGCAGGGGCGGGGCACTGATGCTCAGAGGTCTCAAGGTCACCCCACTCGAAGGTGACGGTCAGGACTGAAACCAAGGCCCCTGACTCTAGTTTCCAGAGCCCATCCTCTTCTGCGAGCCTCAATTCCCTTGTCTGTAAAATGGGTGTGATGCCAGTTCCCGCCTGTGGGGTTGAGTGGAGCTGTGTTAACCCTTTGTATGCCATAAGCGGCTATAGATGCTTTAAAATCTTTTTTGTGTGTGTGAGAATTTTCAACTGAAAATATCCAAGGACACCCAAATTGTGAGTAATATTTATTTATTTTTATTGATTGCAGAGAGGAAGGGACAGGGAGAGAGAGACAGAAACATCAATGATGAGAGAGTCTCATTGATCGGCTGCCTCCTGCACGCCCCCCACTGGGGATTGAGCCCGAAACCTGCGCATGTGCCCTTGACTGGAATCGAACCCGGGACCCTTGAGTCCGCAGGTCGACCGACGCTCTATCCACTGAGCCAAACAGGCTAGGGCATAATATGTTTATTTTTATAATATTCATTGCAGCCCTAGCCAGTTTGGCTCAGTGGATAGAGCGTCGACCTGTGGACTCAAGGGTCCCAGGTTCGATTCCAGTCAAGGGCAGTTACCTGGGTTGCAGGCTCACTCCCCAGCCACAGTTGAATGGATGGATGATGGATGGGTGTGTGGGTGTGTAGGTGGGTGGGTGGGTAGGTAGATGGATGGACTAACAAATTAAAACTTCTTCCTACTCAAGCCAGAGGTCTTAGGGGGAAAACAGCATGTTCTGGGAACAAGACCCTATCCCCACCCCCAGCGCCCCCTCCACCACTGTTACCCTGTCCGGGCCTGTGAAATGAAGTACAGGGGCAGCTCAGATGTAAAATTTCTTCATCTCCTTCCTCCAGGGGCCTCCGGCCTTCCCCAAACTTCGGGCCCCTCTTATTTTGCCAAGAATGAGGACTTCGGCCTCAGCCTCAGCCCCACGGGACATCACCTCCAGGCCCCGGGCCAGGGAGGGAGCCGCAAAGTAAGTGAAGAGGGTAGCCGGGGTCCCCAACTCCTGGGTCTGAGGGAAGAGGGTGTGGGAGCGGGAGGGAAACATTGGTTCTAAAAAATCAACAGCCCCCCTCAAACTCCCCGTTACAGAAACTCTTAAAGGGAAGGTCACCCCTCCAGCTGCCCCTGTGGGGCCCATGATCGCTGCCCAGGCCTGGAGGCCAGGTGAGTCCCCCACCCTGCCCCCGTCCCCTCCCCCTGGCCACTTTTTTTTATTATATTATCTAAGTCACCTCTCTCTCCCCGCCTCACAGGGCACAAGATCTGCTGCTAAAGGAGCCCCAGTGGCTTCCCGGCTGGAGGGGTTTATGAAGCGGAAATAAACTGCCACTGCCCAGCCTGGTCTGTCCTCCGGTGTGTGTGGAGAGCGTGCAGCGGCCACTAGGGGGCAGCTTGGCATCGGGAACGCGTGGGCCCTGAGCCCTGAGCCCTGAGCCCCACCTGGTTAACCCAGGGCTCTGAGATCAGAAAGCCACAAATGGGGGACCCAGCTCCTCCTCCCCGCTGGCCAGGAGTACAGGCCCCCAGTTCCTCCTCCCTCAGACCCAGGAATCTGCACCCCTAGCCTCTTCCCTCAGACCCAGGAGTCCAGGCTCCCAACCCCTCCTCCCTCAGACCCAGGAACTCAAACTCCCAAGTTCTCAGAGAGAGAGAGCCAACCCCCTTTCCCCATCATGGCAAAAAATCCCCGAAGTCAGACCCAGGCGCCCAAGTTCTAAGTCCCTTCGTCAAAAAGAGCACACATTCCCCTTAGAGCTATGTCCCCAGTCTTGCCACATCTGTTCTCATCTCTCTCTCTCTCTCTGTTTTGTTTTGTTAATCCTCACCTGAGGATGTTTTTCCCATTGCTTTTTAGATAGAGTGGAAAGGAGGGAGGGAGACAGAGAGAGAAACGTCCAGGTGTCATCGAATAATTGCCTCCCGCATGTCCCCCAAGATCAAGCCTGCAACCAAGGCATGTGCCCTTGACTGGGATCAAACCCGGGACCCTTCAGTCCGAGGGCTGACGGTCTGTCCAATGAACCAAACAGGCTAGGGCTCATCCCTCTCTCTTTATTCCTCTCTGGGAGCCTTCTCCCAGAGTAACAGTGACTTCTGGTCCAAATCAAGCTGAGCAAGTTTAAGGCAGGCCCCTACCCTGAGCCCCTACCCTGTGCCCAGCCCTGGCTGGACAACGCTGAGCATGAAGCAGTAATCACTGCCCCTGGGCTTACAATCCAATGGGAGAGACAGACTCACTTGTCGGGGGACAGTGGTGATCCAGAGTGGGCAGGGCTAGGATGGGGGAGCCCAGAGCGGGCAGCTGACCCAGCCTTGGAGGTTAAGGAGGGCTTCCAGGAGGAAGGGATGTCCAAGCTGAAACTGAAGGGATGAGCAGAAGGTATTCCAGTGTAAATGGAGCTGGAACTGTGCACCACAGATTTCGTTTCAAAGCAACAGAAGCCGCCTCTGGGGCAGAAAGGAAATTGATTGAGAGGAGTTGAGATCGATCGCTCACAGAATCCTGGAAGTGATTAGAGAACCCGAATTGGAAAGTGAGCAGCAACACCAGCCGCTGGCCTCAAACCATAGCCACAGTCACGCCACAGAACCGGTCTGATGAGGATATACTGGTGACCACTGGACACTTGTCACCTCACCTCTGCTGCCCCAGAAGCAGGCTGTGTCTGCTAGCTGTTGCTCAGAACAAATGACACCGAAATTTATTGGCAAACAATAACCATTATTTTCTCTCACTAGAGGCCCGGTGCACAAAAATCTGTGCACTCGGGGGGTCCCTCTGCCCGGCCTGTGCCCTCTCGCAGTCTGGGAACCCTCGGGGGGTGTCCACCTGCTGGCTTAGGCCCGCTCCCCGGGGATCAGGCCTAAGCTGGCAGTCAGACATCCCTCTGGCAGCCCGGAAGCCCTTGGGGGATGTCCACTTGCCAGCGGGGAGCAGGCCTAAGCTGCAGTCGGACATCCTTAGCGCTGCTGAGGAGGCAGGAGAGGCTCCCGCCACCACCGCTGTGCTGGCAGCCATCAGCCTGGCTTGTGGCTGAGCAGAGCTCCCCCATGTGGAAGCACACTGACCACCAGGGGGCAGCTCCTGCATTGAGCGTCTGCCCCTGGTGGTCAGTGTGTGTCATAGTGACCAGTCATTCCCAGTCGTTCTGCTGTTAGGGTCAATTTGCATATTACCCTTTTATTATATAGGATAGA